CAGGTGATTGTTATCAATAAATACATATGATAGATGATTAAAGAGTTCCGCCATATGCTTCCAAAATTTTGTTATTCTGTCCATGACACACTTTTTAATCAGCACTTTAAAACTTATTAAAATTGTTTAGAAGGTCAACAGTCGTAAAACTTTATACCTCTTTACGAATGAGTATGAAAATTTTTTTAAATGTAACTGATTGTTACATGTATTTTGCTGAACGTTCTCACCTTACATTTCACCTTAATTTTCAAGAAAGACAAAAATGGAGTCTAGCCAATCAATTTTATTACAAGGATTGTGGAACGATAGCATCTGTTATTTTGTCTAACAAACTGCATTAACACTTCACAGATTTAAGATATTAGAGCTGTTACAATTCCACAGTGTTCTCATGGTTGTATTGTAACGAGAAAACATATACACAAAATGTTTTCTCATCTTTGGAAATAAAATGTTTTCCTCAAAAAAAAAGTTAGGAAATGTAACATGCTTTATATGTTTTTCTGCTGGAGATTCACATCTGTTGCACGCCCAGGTTTTAAATCTGATAACGGCTGGAGACTGGTAGATACCCAAGCCCTCTGTAGTTAGATTTAATGTTCACAAGTGAGTATATAGGTGATGTGAATCATTTCATCAATGTTTTCACTGCTATATATAGTAATAGCCTCGTAGATTTAAAAAATAATACATTATATACATTAATATTATAGATACCCTGTCCAGCAACAGATGAAAAGTTTACATATATTGCTTATATTATGTGACTCCAGTTTGCTGTTGATTATGAGTATGAACACAGACATTTGGTACAATGCTACAACAAGATCTGGCTGTTGTAGGGTCTAGATAAATATGTGATGTTCAGACTTCTATCCATGTCTTGGCGTCGAAGCTTTCTGCTTTGTATTGTAGGTTTGAGGGTTAATTCCGATGTTTATTGTTTGATAATAGAGAATTGACCCACAGAATCCATTGCACCAACAAGGACCCATGTTTCTCTTCAATACATGTACCGGTATAGGATAAAATCTTAAATAAGTTTTTAATTTACATGAGACTTTATGAAATAAGTCTTAGATAATTTCAGTTCTACAAGCCAAGGCTTTTTATCACATAATTCAGAAAAGTTAATTTTGTGAAGTCAAAATACGGAGAGCAATGTACAAGGAAGCAGCCATTTTTTGTGCCATTTTCAGTTTATTACGTAATATGATCATTGTTGTATTATGACATTGGAAGTAATTTCTAACTAGCTAGTGCAGGCAATGGCAAATGTTACATGGTCAAAAATAGTGACATATGCAATAAATATGCCATGTGCAAATTTACTGGATAACGTCCAGATATATGATAAATATGTGTAACTGTTTCTTTATGTCTTTATCAACATTATATACCTTGCATTTCTCAGGAAGCTGAGAAATAGACCAGTCTGTGCTGATGTGGCTGGGTCCTCCTACAAGACACTTTACCTTAATTGCTTTGGATATCATGTGATGGACCTCCTGTATGTTGTTCATTGTGGTAGCCACCAGCTTTTACAAGGAGATCCAGTCTAAAAAAGACCTGGCTTTGAACATATGCTAAGATGAGAAGGGTTTTGGGTAATGTTCTTAAATGACAATAGACGCTATAAAGGATTATACAAAAGACACATATGTGATAAGTTATTCTTAGCACAAATTTAGAATTAGATACAGTATAGCCAGATATGTAATGAATCAATATGGTACTGTGGTTTGCTTGGTGTCAGTATTATACAACCATGTAGAGTGTCATGGAAGTTTCACTGTGATGGCATTGTAGGAGAGCTCTCAAGTCACCCTTTTAGTATCTGCAGGGTCTAAGGATCGTAAAAGAACTCAAACTTTGTGTTGTGTAGCCATAAATAATACACCAAACACACAAAAATAATTATTGTATACATGGTATTGTGTAAATATGGCAAGATATTTTTTATCGAGTGTCCCTCAGACTGCCATTTGATTCATTCAGCTTTATCGATTTCATTTTATTACAAGTAATCATTTTTACGATTATTCCCGAATTCAAGAGGTCACATAAGTGTAATAAATGATTTCCGTGTTCTTACTCAACCATCAAACAGGCTAAGATTTATAACAGGGCTGACATTGATTTCTATACCTTTTAATGCCTTGCTTCATTTCTTTTAATCTTTATTTTGCCGTGATTTAGGCCTGCTACATTCCAATTTGTGTCAAATAAGGAAAAAAAAGATAAACAAGATTGCAATCTATTTCACAGTTTTGTCTCCTACTCAGTACTATAACATAGAGGTTTTCGGGGGAAAAAAACTCATGTTGGGCAGTTGCATTTTTTGTCACCTCATTTATGATTGCCTGCCCAAGTTTAATTTCAGCTTTTGAGTGGAAGGGGTGTAACTCTTGAAGACTTGTAAGGAAACCTCTCGTGGGAGATGAATGACACCTGCCGTTTTCCGAATTAGTGCCAGAAATATTTGAAGCGCTGTGATAACATATTAAACTTATGACCTTCACCTTCTCCATCTGTCAGGAGGAAATGTGTATTTCTATCACTGATAATACACTAGATGCCTTATTTATATAAGTATCACTATCAATAGTACAGAAAGGGTGCAAAATGTCGTTCCTAGATTAAACTGGTATAGTAGTAAAGAGATACTCTGTATGGGCACATATAGAGATATCATATCAACTGGACTACATCTTTGTACCTCAAACTTACAACTTATTATTTCAAGAATGATTTAAATTCTCTTCAAAAAATCAGAAATGAAAATTATTCTTACTCTGATCTGGTATCTGAAAATTATAATGCAAGGAGTAAAAATAAATTGAGGAAAAAATGTTATGTGATTTTAGGTTTATGAAAACAAACTATTGGGCAAAAAAAAGAGTGGTACATGTAGGTAAGATGATGTCCATTTCCATGCTTACTAGGTGGTTCATCTCAGGGTATGTTTTGTAATCAGATACTGATGGAACACACAGCAGCACCAATCTTTAACGAGATGGTGTAGGGGTTATATACCATAGCCAAACATAAAGCGTTATGATTATATAGGCAGATGATGTTGGGGGTGGGGGAGGGAGAGGGGTCAGCTGGTGAGAAGGGAGGATGGGGAGAGAGGGTGGGTTATATACCAACATGCTTAACAAGCTGTGTCATTAAATAGGTGGATGATGTAGTGGAAGGAGTGCTGATCAGGACAGTTAAGACTTGGGAATGGCTTTATCTACTACAGGAAGCAGTTACATTGGACATGGGTTACTCCTGTAGTGGTTTACTAGACAATAGATTGGAGTACAGCTATACTTGTCGACAATGCCTTGGCATAGGGATGTAACTATAAGGGGTTAAATTTCATTCTTAATTTATTGGAAGGAATATATAAAGAGAACAGGTTACAGGCATATTATCAATGAAGAAAGGATAAATTATCAGTTAAAACATGTTGAATGATAACTGTCAATCAACAGAATACAATTACTTACACTGTACATTATATAGGTAGATGTGTGTAAGAACAACAAAGATGGGAGATACCATTCATTATTGTTTTTACATGTATAATGGACGGGTAGTTGTAACATATTTACATATTCTATGAAATAAAAGGGGTAGTTTCATTGCCAGTAGTGAAAATCGTTACAATAAAGGAGGTGATATTTACAGTATTTTCTATCAATCGGGGTAGTTCATATATCCAAGATAGGAATTTCATTTCAGTAATAATTACCATAACTTTAGTATGCAAATATGGTACCTACACCCATCTTTGTATCCCAAAAATATCAAAAGTATAAAAAAAAAAAAAAAAAAGGGAAATTCACAGACTTTTAATATTGATTTAAAGTATAATTTTGGTCAGATGATATTAAATATATATCATTATTCACTATTCCTTTTGACATGGACCATGTTAAAAAAAAATACAAAGAAATAAAATTTGTTACTTAGAATATTACTGAGTATGCCAACATGTCACTTAACGTTGGTTGATGAGGTGACATATTTAAGCCTGATATGATCCTTCAAGCTGACATGTTCTGGCTGTCTGGTATAACTGTATAACATGTTGCTTGTTTACATGTGGAGAAAAAAGACTTAGATTGATTCTTCTATCATGATAAAGAGTATATATTTAAAGATGATATAAGTAATTATCCTGATGTGGTTGATTTGAGGACATTTAGATACAATGTTCCCCATTACACCAGAGTGAGGTCACAAACTTCCCTCCCAAATTTTTTAAATTTGGGAGGGAAGTTTATCCTTAGTTTTCAAGGGCTTTCCTTTATGTGTGTATTGTTTAAGGTTAACCAGCTGTAGCACCAGTTTGAAATAAAACACTGGATACTTACAATCATATGTGTACACGATTCCATATATGGTCATTTCTTTATAAATGTAATGATCAAATGCTCTCCCAACTAATCTTTGTAGGAATACAGTTACTTTTCTAACCCATCCAACAGAAATATCCGCACTTCTCCTGGAGATTCCCTTAAGTCTAACCCTCAGTTAGCCTGAAGCTAGAGAAAGATCCTGTTAATGATATATTTATTGTTATAGAAATTGTCTAGTAACAAAAGTTTCCTGTTGGAAAATGTTTCTTGGCCTGATTCTTTTTCCCTGAAACATGTTGCTGCTGTTGTTACAATATTGTTTAACATAGAATGTTTGTTGTATGTTTGTTGTATCTGGGTTATCTGTCAAACCGAGAATATGATCACAAAATATACTTGATATACTTTATCACTATTTTATTTACAGGTCTTAGCAGATGTTTATACCAGCAAATGATTCAAAACAGCATATAACCTCAAAGAAAAGTCCCTGAAAAAATTTGATGTCATTCAGTATTAAAATTACTTACATCCTGGTATCTATAGTCAAATGTAGAATGTCCTGTCACTGCAAATTAAAACCTTAATTGATAACGCTTTATAAATTCAGTGCATTAAGATATTTCATCTTTGTTTTTTCAGATCCGACATGGGCCTCTATCAATCGTGGAATATTTATTTGTGATGAATGCTGCAGTGTTCACAGGTCCCTGGGGCGTCACATCTCACAAGTCAAGTCTATCACCAAGGGCCAATGGAGTACCACTCTACTGGCTGTAAGTATAACATTGATATGACTTTCATACGACCTCTGATGTCTCTCACCAAGGGCCAATGGACATTGATTTGACCTTCGTATGACCTCTCAATTTTTTTACCAAGCAACGTTGGAGCCCCGCTCTCCTGGCAGTTATGTATACCTGTATATGTCTCTTTAAGACACTATTCTCATGACAGTTTCATGACATCGATATGACCTTTGTGTGACCTCTCCAGTCTCTCACTAGGAGCCATAGAGTACCACTCTCCTGACTGTAAATATGACATCGATATGACCTTTGTGTGACCTCTCCAGTCTCTCAATAAGAGCCATAGAGTACCACTCTTCTGACTGTAAATATGACATCGATATGACCTTTGTGTGACCTCTCCAGTCTCTCACTAAGAGCCATAGAGTACCGCTCTCCTGACTATAAATATGACATCGATATGACCTTTGTGTGACCTCTCCAGTCTCTCACTAAGAGCCATAGAGTACCGCTCTCCTGACTGTAAATATGAGTGTGACCTCTCCAGTCTCTCACTAAGAGCCATAGTACCGCTCTCCTGACTGTAAATATGACATTGATATGACCTTTGTGTGACCTCTCCAGCTCTCCTGACTGTAAATATGACATCGATATGACCTTTGTGTGACCTCTCCAGTCTCTCAATAAGAGCCATAGAGTACCGCTCTCCTGACTGTAAATATGACATCGCTATGACCTTTGTGTGACCTCTCCAGTCTCTCACTAGGAGCCATAGAGTACCGCTCTCCTGACTGTAAATATGACATCGATATGACCTTTGTGTGACCTCTCCAGTCTCTCACTAAGAGCCATAGAGTACCGCTCTCCTGACTGTAAATATGACATTGATATGACCTTTGTGTGACCTCTCCATTCTCTCACTAAGAGCCATAGAGTACCGCTCTCCTGACTGTAAATATGACATAGATATGACCTTTGTGTGACCTCTCCAGTCTCTCACTAGGAGCCATAGAGTACCACTCTCCTGACTGTAAATATGACATTGATATGACCTTTGTGTGACCTCTCCAGTCTCTCACTAGGAGCCATAGAGTACCACTCTCCTGACTGTAAATATGACATTGATATGACCTTTGTGTGACCTCTCCAGTCTCTCACTAAGAGCCATAGAGTACCGCTCTCCTGACTGTAAATATGACATTGATATGACCTTTGTGTGACCTCTCCAGTCTCTCACTAGGAGCCATAGAGTACCGCTCTCCTGACTGTAAATATGACATCGATATGACCTTTGTGTGACCTCTCCAGTCGCTCACTAAGAGCCATAGAGTACCACTCTCCTGACTGTAAATATGACATTGATATGACTTATTATTTAGCCTCATCAGTCTCTCACTAAAGGCCAATGGAACACAACTGATCTCCGTGCTGTAATTATGATATGTCTGGAGAATTGTAATTAAAATATAAACTACAGCAAAATATCAACAAAGAAAGATTTACAGAGAGACTCTGGAAAAAGTACAAGGAGAATAAGATCAGGTATTCTGGAAGAGGCTTATGCTACATTGACAATATAATCGTTTTTCAGACTAAAATGTGAGAGAATGAGACAAGTCAGGTTTGCTTTGTGAAGTCATGACTCGCTTAAACTGTGTAACAGATTTCAGAAATGTTTGATTGTGCATCTTTAAAAATGGTAAAAATGGTGATTCTTGCTGTGAAAATAGTTCTCTTGAATTTGGCCTTTCATAGTTGAATATGTAATTTCACTCACAAAACCAAATGTTTACTATGAGATAATCCTTGGCCAAAACTTCTTCGTCGTGAGTTTGTATTTAATACAGGAAGAGAAATTAAGAAAAATAAATCTACTTTTAAGAAATGGCTGGTGATCCTGGTGTAAAAAAGGAAGACCATTTTGCTGTTTCCTGTCCTGGTATTACATGTATTTGGTGGCTTTCTTTGGTGTAAGCATTAAAGATTGCTATATAAACAAAATGTAGGTCAGTGTGTGTATGTTGTGTAAACTTAGAAATGAAGTTCTTTTCAACAGATGGTCCAGCACCTGGCCAGCCATGGAGCCAACAGTATTTGGGAACATTCGTTACTTGATCCATCACAGAGTAAACACGGAAAGAAAAAACCCACACCACGCGATCAAGTACAGTAAGTCAACTGATCCATTTTTAAAACGGAACTGTTTTATATTTACATGACGATTCATATTGCTTCTGCAAATCATTTACCATCAACACTTCTCAGAATGTGATCAAGAGGCCTTTTTTGAAAAATACCTGTACCTGTATATATATTAAACCTGTAGTTTTAAATGAGTTTTATTGGTGATCTTGGTGAACAATTACCATAAAGTCATTTACTTTTGTCTGGTATGTCGAAATTTTGTAATAGAAGGTGTTAAGCCCATTAAATAAATAACTAAAAATATAATTTCATGAGGCTCAAATTTTTGCTTTTCTGAACATTTACAGTTCTTTTGGCTCTTAATTTTGTGGTTAAATATTTTTTTGGCAAAATCCACTGGTGCTTTTTCATGTGAACCTTTAACTGTTAATTATTTCATGGAAATATAAATTTGCTGATTTAGGTTATCCATGAGTTAATTGAAAATACCCCATCTCCCTCCCCTCTGAGGAAAAATTAACGATTTTACAGTTTTACTTGAGATATTTCAAATGCCATATGAGACTTAGCAAATGTTCTTGGATGTTTTTTCAGACATAGATTTTTTTCCATTTTTCTCACTGCAAATACTTTTGTTTGATTTCAGTCCAATTAAAGCTGAATTCATCCGATCAAAATATCAATTTGTACAGTTCATCAACAAACAGAAAGATGGGGAGGTCAACTCTATCGACGATCTTAGCAAGGTGAGTATGTCTATCTGAGTATGATGTACAGGTGTGACCTGTGGAAAGGTCTCCTGAGATAGAGCTGGGCTACTATTTATGAACAAACAGAAACTTTGATGACTTACTGCTCTGGGTGACCTTGAAAATATATCCAATTCTCAAAATTGATAAAAAGTTGATATAAGAGCTGTTATTAAGTTGCACTGAGGTATGACAAATAATGAGCTCCCACCCCCATATCCTTTTTACAGAAGCATTTGCAAAAATGTCGTTTAAATATTTAAGAATTTAACTTAATTTTCTTTCACATGCAATGCATTTTGGCAAATTTGAGGATTAAAACAAGGTAATGAAAATAAAATGTTGCAAATTAAGATAGGGGTGATACACAGCAATTATCAGCATGGCTGATTATGTTTCATTAAAATTTATTACTGAAAATTTGTGAGACACAAATTGTGAAGTTCATAATTGTGGAGACAAGTCGGTTTACTTTTTAGTCTATGGTGAGTTTGAGGAAATGTGCTAAGGGGCCCCTCTGGACAATCAATATTATCACATAACATGCCTAAATACATGGCCTATAAAATGTCATCATAAGGATACTTTTATTATTTACAGCAACTTCACTCATGTGTACGAACAAACAACCTGGAGACCTGCCTCAGACTTCTGTCAAAAGGTGCCGATCCTAACTACTTCCATCCCGTAAGTGTTTCATTGTAATGGTATTAGGTGAAAAGATATCGAAAAAAGGACTTCAGACGTGTTGAAGAATCTTACTTAAGGGTGTGATGGGAACAACTGGAACTGATGAATGTTTCCTTTCAATTTCTAACAATGATGAATGACTTAGGTGTACATATTCTGAAAACACAATTACAAGATTCTGTTTATTTTTATTTCCCTTCTTTCATGGCCACCGGTGGCTTGTTCATTTATGTAGACATACTGGCAAGTTGGCACATTAAAATAACATTTCAGGGATAAACTGGAACAGATTTTTCCAATATTGATATCAAACTCAAAAAGATTTATGTCAAAGCTTGTCAGAAAGCTAAAACAGATTGGTAGGTCCGCCCTTACTTTATTACCAAACAACTGGTCACATGGATTTAAAAGAAGGCACAATTGAAGCACATCAAGGTGAATGATGTGTCTCCATTTACAGTGACATGGTTACTGTCACTTGATCTGTATCAAAACAATTGTTTGGTTTCCTTCTATAGAAATATTTCAGGTCTTTGATAATTCTAAATAAAATATGAGAGAAGAATTTCAAATTAGATAAATATAAGACTGAAATCCGCTTTGATGTCTGCTAATTAATAATTTTTTTTTTGTGTTAGATATAATGAACATATTTCTCAGTAATCAGTGTGTTTTGCATGTCAGAGAAATGTACCCTCCTTTTTTACATATAAAGCTTGTCTGTTTTGTAGGAGAAGGGAAATTGTCCTCTACACGTGGCTGCTCAGAGTGGGCAGCCTCTCCAAGGAGAACTACTAGTCATATATGGGGCAGACCCAGGTGCATATGATGCCAACGGAAAAACACCTATAGACCACGCAAGGTACGTTTATCAGCTAATAATCTTAATGTATTCCAGGCAGTTAATTCTGGGATTTTTCCCCAATGTTGGTTGTGAAGAATTGATAACTTGCTTTATCTGTAGTAATTTTGTATATTAATCTTTGTTAAAGAGTTAAGAAAAATGGCATTAACAGAAAGTATTCTACAAATAAAAGCATGATGTAAAGACTGGAATGTTGTTGTTGACTTAGCAAACAAGTTAAAATAGGGTTGTCTTGGTTGTTGATAACTTGGCCAACAAGTTAAAAGAGGGTTGTCTTGGTTGTTGATAACTTGGCCAACAGGTTAAAAGAGGGTTGTCTTGGTTGTTGATAACTTGGCCAACAAGTTAAAAGAGGGTTGTCTTGGTTGTTGATAACTTGGCCGACAAGTTAAAAGAGGGTTGTCTTGGTTGTTGATAACTTGGCCGACAAGTTAAAAGAGGGTTGTCTTGGTTGTTGATAACTTGGCCAACAAGTTAAAAGAGGGTTGTCTTGGTTGTTGATAGCTTGGCCAACAAGTTAAAAGAGGGTTGTCTTGGTTGTTGATAACTTGGCCAACAAGTTAAAAGAGGGTTGTCTTGGTTGTTGATAACTTGGCCAACAAGTTAAAAGAAGGTTGTCTTGGTTGTTGATAACTTGGCTGACAAGTTAAAAGAGGGTTGTCTTGGTTGTTGATAACTTGGCCGACAAGTTAAAAGAGGGTTGTCTTGGTTGTTGATAACTTGGCCGACAAGTTAAAAGAGGGTTGTCTTGGTTGTTGATAACTTGGCCGACAAGTTAAAAGAGGGTTGTCTTGGTTGTTGATAACTTGGCCAACAAGTTAAAAGAGGGTTGTCTTGGTTGTTGATAACTTGGCCAACAAGTTAAAAGAGGGTTGTCTTGGTTGTTGATAACTTGTGATATTTCTACAGAACGGAGTGACATAAAGACTTAGCTTAGTCAAGAGATCAACAGAAAGTTTTTTTGTTGTTGAGATTTTGTTGTTTTTCTTCAGAACGGAGGGACATAAAGACTTAGTTTAGTCAAGAGATCAATAGAGAAAGTTGTTTTGTTGTTGAGATTTTGTTGTTTTTCTACAGAACGGAGGGACATAAAGACTTAGCTGATAGGTTAATAGAATGCCAGTATGAACTCACAGATCGCCTCGCATATTACCTCTGTAAACGCAAACCAGGTAAGCTGTCTGTATCAGTAAGTATGCCATGATACTGCCATTGATTTAGGTTTATTTTGTAATACATACAAATTACCTGAAAAGCAATAACAGATAACCAGGTGTGTTGTACAGAAAAACGTTGATAGGTTTGAGGATCCCTGTACCAGACATCAGAAAATAAAACTTTGTTATTAAACCCATATGAAAGACAATCAAAATGAAAATTTTCAATTAAGAAAAAAAAACCCTAAATGTATGCTAATCATACATATGGTAGTTTTCTTTGAAGTGTAATGAAAGATAAATCTACTTAAATGATCACAGAAAATGAAAAAAAATTGTTTTCTGAAAATACAATTTTTTTTAAAACTGTTAAATCTATGGAAACATTCTCTGATGTATTACTTGCATTGATGCTATGTTGTTTGGCTGTTTTGTAGACCATAGAAATGGCTGTCATTTCATCATCCCAGAAATGGCCGATAAGTAAGTTATCAAATTCTCTCTTCTGAAGTGTCTGAAAGACCAATCCAAAAAAAAATATGCACCTTCTTGTATCATTATTCACAGTGTTACACTTTAGTACAATCTGTTCATGTATATTATCTCTTCTGTTGATATCCAATATTGAAAAATCTCAATAAAAAAAAAACTTTTGAAATTTTTTTTTCCAAAAAAAAATGGAATCTCAATATATGCGAAAACATTAATCCTTGTGTGATGTGAAGTATTATTGTTTGTTTCTGTGCCCCAAACAAGCAGTCTATAAATTCCTTCAGTGTAAATTTAAAAAAAAAAAAAAAAAAAAAAAAACAAAAACAAAACACTACATTGGAATTCTAGATTGTCTTATCTGAGTTTTACTTATCCTTAAGATCACCACATTGAATGAATTCAGGCAAAATTGGATGTTGTATTTTGTTGGATATTTTTGATGAAACATGTCAAGTAATTACTTTTTGAATTATTTAAAATTGTGAGAATATTTGTGTTGAATTACTTAGCTTTGTTTTGTATGTCATATACTAAATCCATTGTTTAATTTTCTGTTTACAGTACTTTAGATATGTCAGAATTAGCCAAACAAGCAAAGAAAAAATTACAAGCAGTAAGTATTTAACTTTTTGTTGGTAGAAAGCAACTTATTGGAATGATTACACACAAGAATAGAAATATAAGCATGAGAATCTCTTCTTGTTAATATACAAATGTAAAGCCATTGTATGACAAAAGATTTTGTTCGGTTAAAGTGTTGAACTGATGATGGCTGATGTGCTTACTGTGTATGTGTAAAAAAAAATTTCAATCGTAATGTGATGATTTTAAAAATGTTGAAATATTAGCTGAAAGGCTTGATCACCAAAATGTATGATTTCTAGTTGAATTTTGTTCAAACTTCAGAAGACATTAAACTAGTAGTTTTGTTTGAACATACAATAAGTATTAGACCCACTGATGATACAGCTTTGACTTATGTTAAACTATGTGAAGCATATTTCAGCAATATTTGGTCAAAAGCAGACAATGATGCTGACTCCTATACAGGGAACACTTCGAAGTATTTGGATTCCCCATGATTTTTCTTGTTTTAATGAATAGAGGACAGCATAAGTGATGTGACATGAGACTTCAGTTTGAAATCTTTCTTTCCAGTTACCCAATCATTTATTTGAAGAATTAGCAATGGATGTATATGATGAAGTAGATCGCCGAGAAAATGATGAACGTAAGTTTACAAATCGTTTTAGTTCAGTTTCTCTCTAAAGCATATTTTTAACCAAATATTCAATTAATCATTTTGATATTCTTGAAATATTTTTCAGGGATCTAAAATTAAATCATATGCACAACATTTACATAATGTGGATTTACACTTCTCTTTTAAACATTGTAATCACATACAGTTCTAGCACACATGATTTCCATGCTTGTTGAACAATTTTTGGACAAAGTTTTTTATGAATTAAGTTTCATTAATAAACACACTGTATCCTGTGTTGTTTTATTGTCAGATTGGACCGCTGCCCATGAAAATGCGTCCATAGTCAGTGACAGACAGGGCGTACCATTTCTTCCCCTAAATCCAGACTTCTCTGCCACAAGAAACCAGGTAAAATAAATTCTATCGTTTCTCTAATTTTGTTAAGTATTGCGAAAAAAAATTTTAAAAAATGAGTTAATAAATAAACTTATATTGATCTCCTTATTATTGAAATGATTAGATTAAGTAATAAATTTTGATTTTATTGAAAATATTTTTAAATTACTGTATGAAACATGAGCAATCTACCTACACATATCAGAAGTATATTTTGGTAATTACTATTATCTTGAATGTAGAGTTTCAATCACAACACAACTCGACATCCTCAGTTAACGGTGCTGTATTTACCTTTAGTTATAGTTAAATGTAAATATAGCACTGTTTGCTTAGGATGTCAGGTTTTGTGTTCATATGTCCCTCATGTGCATTTCCCCTACATACTTAGAAATATCCACATCTGGACAACAAATCTGATACAACAAAAGGAAAATGGAAGTGTGAGGCTTCTCTTTAATAAAAGTAAATGGATATTGACTGAGTGAGCTTGGACCTGTGAAATCTTGTATGACCACCAAACCTATATGTATGGACCTGTGAAATCTTGTATGACCACCAAACCTATATGTATGGACCTGTGAAATCTTGTATGACCACCAAACCTGTATGTATGGACCTGTAAAATCTTGTATGACCACCAAACCTGTATGTATGGACCTGTGAAATCTTGTATGACCACAAACCTGTATGTATGGACCTGTGAAATCTTGAATGACCGCCAAACCTATATGTATGGACCTGTGAAATCTTGTATGACCGCCAAACCTATATGTATGGACCTGTGAAATCTTGTATGACCACCAAACCTGTATGTATGGACCTGTGAAATCTTGTATTACCATCAAACCTATATGTATGGACCTGTGAAATCTTGTATGACCACAAACCCTATATGTATGGACCTGTGAAATGGACCATGTTTGAAATGAAAGTGTGAGGCTTCTCTTTAATAAAAGTAAATGGATATTGACTGACCTTGTGAAATCTTGTAACCAAACCTATATGTATGGACCTGTGAAATCTTGTATGACCACCAAACCTATATGTATGGACTTGTGAAATCTTGTATGACCACCAAACCTATATGTTTGGACCTGTGAAATCTTGTATGACCACCAAACCTATATGTATGGACTTGTGAAATCTTGTATGACCACCAAACCTATATGTATGGACCTGTGAAATCTTGTATGACCACCAAACCTATATGTATGGACTTGTGAAATCTTGTATGACCACCAAACCTATATGTATGGACCTGTGAAATCTTGTATGACCACCAAACCTATATGTATGTACCTGTGAAATATTGTATAATATCGAAACCTAAATGTTTTGACCTATTATTTGTCACACCTCAGATCGGGATATCCCACCTAATACCTATCCTAGATTTTTCTATCTCACCTGATCTGTCTAGTACCCTTACATGTGATTTTTGTGGATTTTTTTCCTTGTTTTTGTTTGTTTTCATCACATGTTAAATTTACTGACATGAATGAGAACTTTCCAGCTTTAAGTTAAATTTTTAACCCACTGTTTATTTATACATCTGATGGTGAAATGTTAAAAGCCATATAGATCTTTATATTTAATATTTCTTTATTATGGTCTGAGAACTTCTTCATATGCTGTCAACAGGGTCGTCAGAAACTTGCCAGATTCAACGGACGAGAATTTGCTACATTAGTGATAGATATTTTAAATGATGCCAAACGACGACAGACTGGAGTCATGTCCCCTGTACAAACACCTAAAGGTAAGCAAAGTTACAATAACTTCTTCCCTATCCTTTAGGATGACGCCAACCACATAGATTTCATATTCCTATCAGTAACATCAGTGATGGTATTGTGAAACGATAAACATGAATAGAACACAGTCATCATTAAAACTGTTTTTATTTTTCGTATTTTATTTTTTGAAAAATGATCACAGAAATTAAACAGTAGGGTAGATCATTCTGTTTTCATCCTTGGTTACTACCAACTAGTTTCATGTCCCATTTCACATTCCTGGATACACATCTTTCCATATGGTGTCAAAACCCCAAGTCAGTCATTCTCTTGATGAACATTTCAATTTTCCCTAAGCCCATCCTTCTGTCTATTGTCAAAGCCCAAGTTAAGCCAATATTTTCTGGGTTGATATTGTTATCATAGCTAATCTTGATTGTATAGTTACATGTCTGGATTATCACTTGTTTCATTTTTGACATTAAATTTTAGAAATGTTAATTCTGTGTACTTTGGTATAGAATTTCAGATTAAAAAGTACATCAAATACATTTAATATGAGTTAAAATTCTGAATTGATCAATTTGTATAGCTTGGGAAAATTTAGTCCAAGAGAGTGAAACAAATATACAATTTCTCAACAGGCCAATCGGAATGAAGTCATTTTACAAGGCTTCATGTTATAGTGTAAACATAATTGTAAAGGACATATGATCCATTAGATATTTGGTAAGAAGGGAGACAACTCTGTTAGTATTGTACCAATAAAGTGATATATGCTTGTTATAAAACTCATAATACACAATGCAACTCATTAAATTTTATTGCTTTATTATTAGATAATTTAAGATATTACAAAAAAAAATCCAGATGATTTCTCTGGTAATAATCTGCATGTCTAAAACAAATATAATAATAGTTTGAAAGAATGGCAAGAATAGGGTAAACATCATTTGTATATATATATATATAGAAATAGCACCAATATCACAGTCATGTCAGAACAATGTGTATCTGACATAAAGCAATGTGTTAAAACCTAGGAAAAGAGATTTATGCGCTCCAGACATGAACCATAACTGTGTTTATGATGGCACAAACAGAGAGTATATAAACTGGGGAATCAAAAAAAAAAAAAAAAATCATTTTGATATCTATTTAATCCAGATGAAAGCATATGTAATTATGGTTATCACTCTTAGCTAGCTTTGTATGTTGTTCAGTGAAGTAGTCACCAGCTAGTTGTGTATGTTGTTCAGTGAAGTAGTCACCAGCTAGCTCTGTATGTTGTTCAGTGAGGTTGCCACAAGCTAGTTCTGTGAGTTGTTCAGTGAGGTAGCCACCAGCTAGTTTTGTATGTTGTTCAGTAAGGTAGCCACCAGCTAGTTCTGTATGTTGTTCAGTGAGGTAGCCACAAGCTAGCTCTGTATGTTGTTCAGTAAGGTAGCCACCAGCTAGTTCTGTATGTTGTTCAGTAAGGTAGCCACCAGCTAGTTCTGTATGTTGTTCAGTGAGGTTGCCACAAGCTAGTTCTGTGTGATGTTCAGTGAGGTAGCCACCAGCTAGTTGTGTATGTTGTTCAGTGAGGTTGCCACCAGCTAGTTCTGTATGATGTTCAGTGAGGTAGCCACCAGCTAGTTCTATATGCTGTTCAGTAAGGTAGCCATCAACTAGTTCTGTATGTTGTTCAGTGAGGTAGCCACCAGCTAGTTCTATATGTTGTTCATTGAGGTAGCCACCAGCTAGCTCTGTATGTTGTTCATCGAGGTAGCCACCAGCTAGTTGTGTATGTTGTTCATTGAGGTAGCCACCAGCTAGCTCTGTATGTTGTTCATCGAGGTAGCCACCAGTTAGTTGTGTATGTTGTTCAGTGAGGTAACCACCAGCTAGTTCTATATGTTGTTCATTGAGGTAGCCACCAGCTAGTTCTATATGTTGTTCAGTAAGGTAGCCACCAGCTAGTTCTGTATGTTGTTCAGTAAGGTAGCCACCAGCTAGCTCTGTATGTTGTTCATCGAGGTAGCCACCAGTTAGTTGTGTATGTTGTTCAGTGAGGTAACCACCAGCTAGTTCTATATGTTGTTCAGTGAGGTATACACCAGCTAGTTCTATATGTTGTTCAGTAAGGTAGCCACCAGCTAGTTCTGTATGTTGTTCAGTGAGGTAGCCACCAGCTAGTTCTGTATGTTGTTCAGTGAGGTAGCCACCAGCTAGTTCTGTATGTTGTTCAGTAAGGTAGCCACCAGCTAGTTCTGTATGTTGTTCAGTAAGGTAGCCACCAGCTAGTTCTGTATGTTGTTCAGTGAGGTAGCCACCAGCTAGATATGTGTGTTGTTCAGTGAGGTAGCCACCAGCTAGATATGTGTGTTGTTCAGTGAGGTAGCCACCAGCTAGTTCTGTATGTTGTTCAGTGAGGTAGCCACCAGTTAGTTCTATATGTTGTTCAGTGAGGTAGCCACCAGCTAGTTCTATATGTTGTTCAGTGAGGTAGCCACCAGCTAGTTCTGTATGTTGTTCATTGAAGTAGCCACCAGCTAGTTGTGTATGTTGTTCAGTGAGGTAGCCACCAGCTAGTTCTGTATGTTGTTCAGTGAGGTAGCCACCAGCTAGTTGTGTATGTTGTTCAGTGAGGAAGCCACAAGCTAGTTCTGTATGTTGTTCACTAAAGTAGCCACCAGCTTGTTGTGTGTGTTGTTCAGTGAGATAGCCACCAGCTAGCTCTGTATGTTGTTTATTGATTAGCCACCAGCTAGTTGTGTAGGTTGTTCACTGAGGTTGCCACCAGCTAGCTCTGTATGATGTTCGGTGAGGTAGCTACTGGCTAGTTTCTAGAAGACTCCTTCCTAAGGTTACCTTAGCTCTTCATTGGATGATAAATCCAACTTACAAATATACAGACTGCAATGCTGTTAAAACATAGTTTCTTGTAGATGGCTGGAAAACCTCCAAAACGCTCATATTAAATATGTATTTTCTTTTCACATACAAACCTGATATGGTTCTAGTTTCAATTCTGTCCTCAGGATGCTCAAAGGTAGGAAAACCCCTAAAAATTACCTACTCAAACGGCAGTAATCCGTGTGTTTTTATTAATCTCCTGTATGACTGTTACTGCAGAAACTTATCAAAGGATAGGCACCATGTCCTAAGTCTCAGTAAATACAGACAGTCATTGAGTGTATTATGATGATATGGGGGAATAAAAAAGGAAAGTTAAAGATTTGCAGCATGATCTTCTCATATTATTTATTTGTTGGTGGCTATTTATAATGCTTATAGTATAGTGTTGAGTGCAGCTCCTAAACATAAGCCAGAATGTAATGTTGAAGAGATTTCTGACTTGATAACTGCTACAAGGTTTTTATCTAAATAGGAAATCAACACATGTTCAGAAAATAAACGTGTAAGGAAGGAAATGAAATAATTCAAATATTTCTATCCTTGTTTCCCTTAATTATGTGACATTGGAAGTATGATATATTATTTTTCAAACAGTCATGTCACAGCCTTTATAATATATACTGTCAAACCTGAGAGAGAAAATAAATGGAATTGTACAGATATAGTTACAGTTATCCCCAGGAGTGGTGTTATGTATTGGTGGGGATGGGGGAGTCAGGTACCCCCAGGAGTGGTGTAATGTATTGGTGGGGATAGGGAAGTCAGTACCCCCAGGAGTGGTGTAATGTATTGGTGGGGATGGGGGAGTCAGGTACCCCCAGGAGTGGTGTAATGTATTGGTGGGGATGGAGGAGTCAAGTACCCCCAGGAGTGGTGTAATGTATTGGTGGGGATGGAGGAGTCAGGTACCCCCAGGAGTGGTGTAATGTATTGTTGGGGATGGGGGAGTCCAGTACCCCCAGGAGTGGTGTAATGTATTGGTGGGGATGGGGGAGTCCAGTACTCCCAGGAGTGGTGTAATGTATTGGTGGGGATGGGGGAGTCCAGTACTCCCAGGAGTGGTGTAATGTATTGATGGGGATGGAGGAGTCAGGTACCCCCAGGAGTGGTGTAATGTATTGGTGGGGATGGAGGAGTCAGGTACTCCCAGGAGTGGTGTAATGTATTGGTGGGGATGGGGGAGTCCAGTACCCCCAGGAGTGGTGTAATGTATTGGTGGGGATGGGGGAGTCAGGTATCCCCAGGAGTGGTGTAATGTAATGGTGGGGATGGGGGAGTCAGGTACCCCCAGGAATGGTGTAATGTATTGGTGGGGATGGGGAAATCAGTACCCCCAAGAGTGGTGTTATGTAGTATCGGGGTTGGAGAGTCTGATAATCCTGCAGTTATGTAATGTATTGGTTGAAATGGGGTGTCATGTAGTTTTGGTTGATTGGGAATAATAAAAATTAATGAAGAATCAAATCTAACATACAGGATATGTTCGCTGCATGTGATAAAGAATGTTTTTTTAAAGTAAATTGAGGTTTTTTAATGTAAAACCAATTTTCATGAGGTAATACTTACCATAACTTTAGTATGCAAATATGGTACCTACACCCATCTTTGTATCCCAAAAACAAAAGATTCAAAAATCCCGCCCTCCCTACGACCATGAGCCTTCACGTCATGAACATAGAGTTATTTCCCTTCCTCTTAGCCTTTATGTAGCACCCGTAGAGGGGCAGTCAGGCAGATAGGAAGAGGGGAGGAAAGGGTGGGACTCCATAAAGTTATGGTAAGTATTACCTCATGAAAATTGGTTTTACATTAAAAAACCTCAATTTCATTTCAGTAATAATTACCATAACTTTAGTATGCGAATTCGTCTTACCGTAGTGGTGACTAGCAGCCAGGCAGCCCATCTAGCACACTAAACTTAGTAGGGAGGGGGGACAGAGTGCATAGAATAAGAAGGGGCAACCTCCCCGTGACCGAGCAGGTAAACCACGTGCCGCCGAACGGAAAAGACGAGCCCCGGGGCTAACGGGGGGGCACAGCCACAGACTGCGCAACCACCAGAGGTCCCAAAGAATACAAACCTTCTGAGTGGGAAGCCAGGGATCTCAGATAAAAATCTGTAAATGTATCCCTGCCCCGCCAGAAGGCAGCAGACATGAC